ATCCGATGTGAGAACAGGTCAATGTTTAGAAGGACGACGCCACACCAGTGTCCCTGCAGGCTTTTATTCTGAAACACCACGAATGACGTCCTTCTGTATAATAATTTGACCCGTTTGTTGAAGAGAGCGAGTTTGTGTTTTCAGAGCAAAGTTTCTTTGATATAACAAACGTTTGTTTTTGTGACTACATGCTGTTGGACAAAATGTGTTTGGGTCAGTTTCTGGAGTACCACAGGTCGTTAGAGCAATTGGCAGTCTCTAAAAGGACATGGGAATAAAACACATAGTATTTCTATTTGTACCATAATCTCTTTTTGGTGTTTGACCATTTGTGTCGGAAGTCTGATGAATGCCATACTACTGGCATCTATAATTTCTACTGCTCCCAAAGCCGATACAGACTGATTGCAGATCAAAAACAGCATGCAAGAACAGACGCGAACATACGTGTATCAGCATTTACTTAAATGCAAAGTTGTTATTAGGGTAGTGGTTTGAGGTTATACTTAATTCACATTAGCAGCCTAAAGAGGAAGCCCATTTGTTGAACAAAGTATGAATAATGCACAATGACCTCAAAACAAAAAAGAGTTAGATGCATTTGTAGAGCAACTTTCAAATCTATACGATTGTGCAGCAGGTGGAGGTACTAAACATTAGCATAACTGCAGCACATGGAATAGTTAGTGGTTCAACGCGCTCTCTTAAGCAAAAAACAATGTTGTAATATTGCTGCTTCTTCAACTCTAGTTGAACGAAGGGTCATGTTGTGTGTGTTTTATAAATCCCAAAACACAACAAAAGCACTCAGGACTGTCTGTGACTAATGCTTGGAAAGTCATAAAACAAGCAGACCAACAATACACGTCAAGATTTGTAATTCCTTATTTGTGTGTAATGTGCTGCTGATGGTTTGTCCTGTTACCATCTGTATTCAGCTAGCTTTACTTAGATATCAAACAGCAAGTGTAGGTCTTATTTATTATTTACACTTCCCCTCTAAGACTACACAAAATTCCCTGTTTCTTCCCAGAGAGCTACCTTATTTTGTGGATATTTGACATCACAAAGAACTAACTTCTTCTGTCAAAAGATGATCTGACTCTAACCCCAAAATGCATTATCAACAAATCACACCTAGTATGTTCAATTTAGCCGTGCATCCCAACAGCAACAAGGTTTTGCAACATTGTCAACCTTCTCTTAGCGTGTGTAACTCATATTTCACTTCTCTTTTGCAACCATTTTGTTGGGGTTTCCACAGTTGCTTTCACTTCCTCTTTGGTGTTGCTGCATGGTGTTCTTTTTTTGTCAGCACTTTTTGTTTCAGTAGTCAAGCAGTCCTGCTACTCCTACAGCTTCCGCCGTGTTTATGAGAGTTTACTGATCAGAGAGCTCACTCTGACTTTTAACGTTCGCACTAAAGTCTTCTTCAGACTTTCGTCGGTAGAAAGAATGGGTGATTATTGTATGTTCTGTGGCCATAAAGGCTGTATCACATAGTTATTTGACCGTTTTTTTGGCAAACTCACTAAGAGATAAATGCATATATGTTTCATGTCAGAATGCAACTGTGTGCAGGTAATCTCGCGATGCCCACTGGCTCCAGGTAACTCGCTGCAGCCCCTGGGACTTAAAGAGGAAACTCGCTAATGGATGTTGAGACAGCATCATTCCCCTGATGAAACGTGTCTGAAGACAAACTCAACCTCACCTCACGCCTTACATTGCTAGCATTCATTAACAATTTCATTATATGTTTTCTAGCTCCTGAAACACAACAAAGTTGCATTCATATGACACCTGTAATGCTTCCTATGTGAACAGCTTCCATGTGTTCGGTAAGTTAGAGAGTTTTCAATGTTAGTAACTTAACAAAGCACTAGGAGACATTGACATAATGGAGAAAAAAAACTGCTTGTTGTTGAAGCCAGCGCATACCCAGTCTTTCTCGCTTCCTATCGTTTTCTGTATCTCAGAATACGCCAGGCACCTCCTCACCAACTTCCTAACTGTAGATTGTAGAGCAGTGAAATTTCCCCTCACTGTAGAAACAGAGATGCTGCATTCCAGACATCAACCGAAATTCCAACATCTGACGTCCCAGCGTAAAAAACAACAACGGCCAACCGTGAGAAATGATAGTTCTTTGCCAAGTGCACATACTTGAACTCTCAGCTGTGTCCTCTCTACATTTTGTGGCCATTCTTTTATTTACTTTCAAAAGATAAATCATGCATTCAGAATGCCCTGACCATGTAATCCTTCATAGACACACAGAAGATTAAAGAAGACTCATATGAGGACGGACACATTTAGCTGGTGAAAAGTCAAAAGGTTTACCATTAATGGACATAACAAATAATATGTCAGCGTGTTTGGCTTCAGATGGGACAAACAAATGACACATACGGTTGATATCTTACTCTCGGACAGATCAAGCATATTTGCCCAACACATCTCAAGTGTCAAACTACTCCTTTAAAGACGAGTGTAACACTGTAGCACTTATCTCTTTTCCTGTAAACTCTCAGCTCTGAATGGCTTGTAATCTCTGCTCTGTCTCCTCTTATCCTTGTGTAATGATCATGCAGTGAAACACGATTAGGAAGAAAAAGCAGGCCAGAGTCCTCCAGGACCATGAGGTATAAAATAATGGGTTGTACAGTGTACACATCCATTACATAGTCTTGTTTCCTGAAATACAAAGCAATTACCAAGTAAATAGCATCTTATGACGTGTGTCTTCCAATGTGTACCCATTCACACCAACCAGGGTTCTGGAAGAATCTCTGAACATTCAAATACAAAGTAAAAGGAAATGTCTTTTGTAACAAAAATAGGATTTCATCTTTGACATAAGATATTTAAATATACATTCAGCTATACATTCCAGATGACTGGATCCTGGTACTACGTGTAAGTGCAGCTGCACTATTCTTGTTTGTATCTGTATTTAGTAGATGTTCTGACGTATTTACTGTTACTGGACGTATGTAACTACGAGCATGCTCACAATATGTTCCTTTTTTGCATCAGAATGATTCCCCGTTCTCCTAAATAATCACCCTGATCCTTGGCAGCTCTTTGGCGTTTCTGGGTTGCTCTTCAACCACACACTGGTACATTGATATCCTCCTGTTTAGGGAGAACCTGACATCTCATCGGTTTTGGGCCCCACATTTCGCAGTGCACGGACAGGACAGCTTGTGATTTGTGGCCCTCCCTGGTGGGCTTCAGGTTGGTCGGTAGGACCATAAGAGGGTGTCATGCATCAATGGTAACAAGGGCCAGGGTGGTCATGCGGCGAGAGAGCGAGGATGCAGGTCTGTTTGAAATGTTTCTGGCAACACCGCAGGATGAATGAATGTGTTCGGTAACCGCTCGTCGAGCACTAGAGGTATTTTTCGTGTTGTGTTTGTTAGTGTGTTTTTTGCCAGTAGGGTTAAGATAAAGTTTTACTTCAACTATTAATTTGAGTAACAATTGGTTGCCAACAAAAGGTCTGTTGGTCATGTGCCAAAACAGTTGATGATTCTTGTTGTAAAAGAGGTGAATGTCCAATAATAACATATTTCACTATTATTCCTGAGGTTTTTGAAACATGTATTGGTATCCTCCTATATTGTGTTGATATCCTGGCAAATAGATCTTATTCAGTTACCACAAACGTAACGCATTCACTTTCTAATGGCTTTATAAATAGATGGTGCAACCCGAACCTGGAGATATTCATTACATAATGTATGAGGGATTTCCAGTTTATGCCAATCTTTAGTCGGACAAATGCAGTAACTATTGATGGAGGAAAACCTGACCATCCAGCTAACATTGTCATGTGAAAGAGAACTGAGGCCACACGGTCTTAACCGGTGTTCATATCAATTCTGACTTTGTGTGTGTCTGTGTGGGTAATATAATCCATAAATAAGTTAACTTTAGCTAAAATATTCCTTCTATGACAAACTGCCTGTAATAGTGACTACATCAGTTGTGCAATTATAGAAATTTCTAAGAACCTCTAAAACATCCAAAAAAATTCAAGAACATCTGGTCATTGTTATGGTCCCCTTTGGACCATTACATGTATCACTTCTGATCCATCTAAGTTGACAATCATTTTCCAGGGTGTTGGTTTTTCGTTATTAAGCCTTTTGAGGTAAACATGTTCTCAGAAGCCTCAAGAATCATTGATGTTTCAAAGTTTGCCGTCCTCTATCTCTCTCAAAATCTCAAAACGGGAGCGACCACATCCGTGTGAGTTAGTTCAGTTAATGAACGTTGAGAGGATACAGGCAGCCATGTCTCTGGCCCCTCTGATAGTCTGGTGTAGCTCTGCTCTCTATGGGCCCTCTCACTCTTTCTCTAGCTTATTAGTTTTCAGTCCAGGCCCTAGCAACAGGGAAACACTAACATCCAACGCATACCAGCCCTCAATCAGCACATGCCATTAATTAGGCGAGTGTTTGTTGGATATTTCATGGAGGGAATGGGGAATTGTTGATAGAGAAGAGGAGTGAGGTGACAAACATGCTACATGGGCCAGCTGCTGCTTCTCTCTCTGCCCAGGATGAGAGAGAAGCAGATCAGCAGCCGCTGTCTCGGCTGCCTCCTTGCAGCCTGCTCGACCTTAAAGGTCTAAACACTTTTATACATGTATTTTTGTCATGTAGCAAGCAGTATCGCTCTCTTCGTTGTGTAATCATGTATTATCCTATTGATCTAGTGATAACAACAGGACACCAAAATTTCATTATATTCAAATACCATATCTACTCAGTACCTTAGACCTAAGCTTCTTAATCCTATTAATAAATCAATAATATGAACAAACACAAATGTGTTTGTGTCCACACAATATTCCTTGGAACACAAATGTATATTCTAATAAAGAAATACACCAGCAAAATTAGCTAGGCAGAGAACACATATTGAGCAATGATGACAATAACACTTAGCCTATGAAAAATAGATGGCGTCTAATTTGTCTTTTTCTTCAGATTGCAGGTTTTATCAACGCCATTAATCCATTTTGTGGAGACGCAGAGAACCTGACAGCGTTCCGCTTCTACGCACTGAACCCCATTGTGGATCCCTGGGTCTTCATCATCTGCCGCAAGTCGGTGTTTCACCACCTTTACTCTCTGCTGAGCTGCCGCTTCAGCAGGAAAGCTGTGAAGACGTCAGCACACTGCGCTCTGTCTTTACCCCTTGACAATCACATGCAGCGCAACTCTCCAGGCGTGACCGTTCCACAGACCAACATGTACTCAAGTATACATCTGTGTAACCCTAACCCAACATAAAGCTAGGGGGATTCCATGTCTGATAATACAGTTTTTCAAATGATAATTTAACTTTTGTATACAGGATACATGCACTCTACTATTTTAAGCCACAAAGACAACAAAATTGCACTAGGTCTTAAACTTCCATGTTCAAACAAAAACAGCTTGTGTTATGAAACCAACAGCACTGTGACTTAGAGTTTGATGTGTTCCTTAGAGCTAGTGTAGATTCACTTATTTTTTTCTCAGCCTGTTCCTTAATTCACAGCCAGGAAACTCCACTAAATGGATGGATAACCGCTACAGAAAGCGCTACGTGCAGCCAATAGTGTTACAGATGCGCCATTTACCGTCGGCGAGGTTGGAGACGAACCAGCGCAGATTTTATTTTTAGCGTAAGAAATTGGATTTGTGGCGTGAGTGAGTGTGAAAACATGCAAACGCGTGTGTGACACGGGGAAACCGTGAGAGTTGGCAGCCCTGTAGCTATGTTGGCTAGCTAGACAACAACTTTCCTAACACAGTCAAACATCAAGCAAGAGCAACACAAGACAAAGCAGGACAGCAAATAAGTTACTGAATAGTCCAGCAGAAATACAGTATATACATGCAAAATAACCTACAATTTCACTCACGTGGGCCTTTATGATCAGTAGTCAGAATGCACACAAAATTGTACCAAATAATACACACTATAGGCTACATCCTGCTGGAGCCTGAGGGTGGATTCTTTTTATTTTTATTTAAGGAAAAATAATTATTCCATGAATTAAGATAAAATATGAATGTGAAAATATCAAACTCTATGTGCAAGTTAATTAAGCTTTGTTTATCCCACAGACAGTCAAACAGATGCCAGGTTAAAAAGGGAGCCCAACAGATGTTTTATTTATTACTATCCTAGATAAATATTCCAGTATTATATTTGTGGTATTCTATTTGTTGTATCGTATCGTAAGTATCGGGTATCGTAATATTTTGGCAGGTATAGAATCAAAGTCATAATTTTGGTATTCTGACAACCCTTTTTCTTTGAAGCCATATAGGTCTTTACTCACAGTTACAATTATTTAAGCAAAAGCAACCTGTGTCTATAGTCAGTATACTCTCATTTGCTAGCGCAGCGTAGAGCTGTTGAGGCTGAATAAAGCACTTTGTTAATGTTGGCTCCACTGGGATTTACATAGATATATAACAGGTGGGCCAATGCTGTGCTTTGATTGACCAGTCTAAGTTAGAGGGGAGAGAGTTATTAAAAAGTGGATTCTTAATCCTGTCATGTTGATAATGCCACTTTATGCATGAACATGTTGTTCCTTTGTTAACAGTCTGATTTCAAAAATACCTATGATAATTGTCTGTAAATGATAAACTCTGCTGCAGCAAAAGTTGAGATTTAGCTTGTTTGACTGCATTTAAATGTAGTGTATTTATGCCCTTTGTATTTGTGTGTCATTACAGCTGTGCTGGTTTGTTTATGCAATGAGTTGCAGAAATGTAGAGATAACAGACATGGTAATTTGTATATTTTGGCTGTTTCACATTCACTTTTTTGTTGTATAGTGACATCCTAATTACTTCAAAACGTTTAACTTTAAACTTAAAAGTTTAAAAAAAGGCATTACCACTTGCACTTTTGTTCTATTATTTAAATTGCAAAATCAAAATTTAAAATCAAAATGAATAAAAAAACATACATAAATAGAAATTGTGTTTGTTACCAGAAATAGATTTTGTTTATGTGAAATAAATATTAATATATGGTATGCAACAGTAACATAATGTATGTTTATGTATGTTCCCAAAGAGAAAAAAATATTGTGTCATAAATATCTTACTGCTCTGTTTTTAAGCCCATGTATAGTTTTTGACTGTTGATAGGACATGAGCACCTTGATCTGCCTTTACAACAGTGGCGGCTGGTCCATAGAGGGCAACGGGGGCCTGGCCCCACCTTAAGCCCAAAAAACAAACAAAGAATATACATTTTTTTAATTATATTAAAAATACATTTTACAAATAGTCAATATTTGTCTATTTGTGTTTTTGAAATATGGAATATACCTAGTAATATTTGTAAATTAAGATATCTGTGCAAAAATATATGCTTTTCCTGCACGTCCTCTCCGCATGTCTCAGCTGGGCTCGGGCACGGTCCCAAAGCGGCGGGTCTAAGAAGCAGTTTAGCCAATCACTTATTAAAGTTAATGAGTGACATATAATTACAGAGTCATAAAATACATTCAGGGTTGGGCTTGCCCTTCGCCGTCCTACACTGCGCTCTCGCCAGGGCGAGTCTGGCGACGCCCCGTTTAACCACATAACAAGAGCAACGAAAAGCAGTATCCTTCCAAGAAGACCCGACCCGAACTCTGTACGAGAGAAGAACTTAGAAAACTTAGAAACAAGAAGTAAAACAGCTAGATCCAGATAAACAAACTAGGTTCATCTCAATATTGCCAATTATCCAATTATTCCACGAAAACCAAAGAAATACGGCGAAGTTGCAGAGTGGTTAAGGCGATATACTGCTAATCCATTCTGGTGTGCACGCATGGGTTCGAATCCCATTCTTGTCGCATTTAACCTGACGCTGCCTTACCATGTCACCAGGAGATGACATTTTTTTAGGAGGAGGGCTCAGATCATCAATAAAACCACATTTATGCCATTGGACAAGTCCTTTTGCAACGACACGCAGGTGCATCCTGCTTATTCTTATTGTGCAGCATTAGTCTATCAATATGGTTGTTTTCCACTAATCACAGGCACACAATTAATTAAGTTCTAGTTCTCGCATGTTAAGTGGCACTCTACAATTTGAGCTAATCCCCCAACACACAATGTAAATTTGTGTAATTGGCCTAAATGGCAACCTGCATTTAACGCCTTTACAAGCTTCCCAGGACCATAAAAAACATGCTACAATATTGACAATTATCTAATCATACCATGAGAAGAAAAGAATAAGGACGATGTGGCCGAGTGGTTAAGGCACACTACATGGGTTGGAATCCCATTGTCGTCGCATTTGAACTAGCGCTGGCTTACCATGTCACCAGGAGATGTCAATATTTTTGGAGGAGGGATCAGATCATCAAGAAAACCAAGCCATCCAACAAGTCCTTTTCCCACGACATGCAGGCGCATCCTGCTTATTCCAATTGTGCAGCATTTGTTTATGAATCTGGTCGTTTTCCAAGAATCGCAGGCACAAAATTAATAAAGTTCTAAAGTTACTTTTAATGTAAAGTTTAGTGAAGAATACTTGATCCGGCTACTTCTCGCATGCTAAGCGAGCATTTTAGAAAATAGGTATAGGTGCATAGGTAAACATTTTTTCACTGCCATGCCCCCTTAAATGACTATAGTAAGAATTTCATGACTTCTTGCAAAATATATTATTTTGTTTTTGGAAGGCGGAATCTTTTTTAAATGTTCTTCCACATGCTGGATACACATTTTTTGGGTGGAGTTTCTTATTTTCAAATGTTTGTTTTTGGAAGGCGGAATCTTTTTTAAATGTTCTTTGACATGCTGGATGCATATTTTTACTTTTACTTGAGTGAATCAGAGCCAGCATTGCAATTACCCACCCTTTACTGAGGGGTCCATGGGTGGACGCCACCCGTGAATTCTTTAGCTCAGCGATTCCCAAAGTGTGGGCCGCGGCCCCCTGGTGGGCCGCGAAGGTACTGCAGGTGGGCCGCGAGAGGTCATTTACAATAAATAAATAAAAAAAATTTAAATTTTAAATTTTGAAAAGTTTGAAGATCACATTTTAATGCAAACATTAATATCAAGCTGGACTTGTTTTACTGCTTGAGGCGGTTCCTCCGTGAGTGTGTGTCGGAGCATCACGCCCTGTACAGTTCGTTTTGCTTAGTTCCTCTGGACTGGGACAAGCACAACAGCAAGACAGATCACACCCAGGCCCTGAATCCACCTCCTCAAAGTGATCCACTCGCTACCCAGTCGGAGGTTCCTCTGTCATCCTCACTGGCACCATCAAGGTTGTTCCAGTTTTCTCCATACATTTGTGTCACTTTTCCATTTTTTTACAAGATGTGAAAATATATTTAGGGTGTTATTGAATAAACATTCACATACAAATACCAGTCTTTCATGAGCTTTTAATGAAAGTTTATATTTATTATACAAGTATTTGATTCCAAAGGTCAGAATTACTTATTATACTCCATCTTTTGTTCCTGTAGAAACTCCACGTCCGCCGTCGCTGGCAGTTATCGACCAGCTGCTCAACAAACACCGTGAGCAGAAAGACATGCTGAAGCTTGTGGACCAGGGCTACGCTGCTCTAGTTCACACCTCCTGTACAGATCCCAACAGCATGCTTCACCCAACAACAAAACTACATATTCTACAATATGTAAAGCACCTCAGCAAATTGTTGAACACCAGTTCCTCTTTAAACGTCAGTCCAGAAAAACTGCAAGAGAGGCAGAAACTCTGTCACTCTCTGACAAAGGCGAGTGAGACCACTAGTGTGCCAGTTGTTACGATGTCTGTTGCAATTGTTCACCCACCTCCACCTGTTCAGATGCAGTCACAAGCTTCTATTGTGAAGATTGTACTCAACATCATGGAAAAGCAGCAGCAATATAAACAGGAACAACAACAACAGCCGGGGCAAAAGAAGGGACGCACGAAAGACAAAGTTCTTTCAGCTAGAACTGGATGCCACACAGAAAAGTTCCATCTAGCATTTTAAGTCCAATTATTTGTAATATTCATGTTGTAATTAGTTTATATATTGGTTTCTTGCATTTGTGACTTTGTACATTAAAATATTATCTTTTTATTTATTCTTTATATTTGATTTTATGGTTTAATATTCATTAGTTTAATTATTTAGATGTCTTTATTTCTGTAACATTTTTGTTTGTATAGGACTATACAAATTAGTTGATATATCTGTGTTCAACATTTACTGTTAATAAATATATTTCAATTACTAATGTCTACATGTGTCATCAATAAGTGTATCACTGTAGTGAACAGTACAATAGATAGATACTTTATTGATCCCTAGTCCCTAATAAGTTGGTCTGTAAGTACAATCTAGTGATAACCAGTAGACAGGTAAACATTTCCTTTATTTATTAATAGCTGAAAACAGCATAATGACGTTGGCTTTTCAGCACCTTGGCCAGTGGCAACAGTGCTGCAATTTGATTGGCTGTCAGTGAGTGCCAGCTATCCACGACTTGCCCCCGCGTGGGAGGTGAGAGTGCTAACCACTACACCACTGTCTCCCCTTTTACATGGTTAGAATCTCTTATCACTCCATGTTAGAAAATATTGCATTGAACGCCTTTACAAACTTCCCAGGACCATAAAAAACATGCTACAATATTGACAAATATCTAATCATGCCATGAGAACAAAAGAAATAGAACGAGGTGCCCGAGTGGTTAAGGCGATGGACTGCTAATCCGTTCAAATGGAAAATTTGTAAGTTGCCTTAGTGGCCCCC